ATTCAATTACATTATACAGAATCAATAAAACCCTAGCCTCTTTTTCTCTAGATTGTTTAACAATTTCAACACAGATCACACAAATTGTAGAATCATATCCTTATCTCGTATTTAAATTTTCAGTTGATTGTCACATAAACAAGCTCCCCTTTCTTCCGTGGTAGATTTTCCGAGAGTCCAATCTAGCATAGGTCTCTTACCAGTGGCCAAAACCTCAGCACGTGATCATGCGATCTCATCCCCAGTGACGCCGAAGGTCGGGCAGCTTTTAATTAAAGCTAAATAAAGCAACATGACTAAAGTTGTGATCGGCCATGACTGTCGAGGCAGAACCCTAGGCGAAACCATAGAGCAAAATTGAGCGTGGCCGTGCAAAGCCAACACATTGAGGTTGATACTTCTAGATGGGACGAGTTCAAGAGAAAGAGAAAAATCAAATAATATTACTTATCCAAATGAAAAATAAGAATATACGTTATTAAAATTAAAAACAACTTTTTATTGGATTAAACTTTTGGCATGAAACATAAAACAAGACGTAAAGTATTGAGACAGCATTAAATCAAACCACTAATTAGCACAAAGTGGCAGTAGATGCCTTATTGACTCGAAAACACACGACATATATAAAGCTAAAGAACAAAGTTGCTTTTACAATATTCAACATAATATCCGTATTGAGTAGGAAATTAGTGACAGTGTGGCCAATATTTGCAGTGCTTTGGTTTGTACGGCTTGTGACCATCTCCACTTTCATTTGTATTAGTACTCTCAGTTTCTCCAGATTTAGTCTGAGTCTCGGCTTGATGAGTCTCATCCCCGTGGACCCCCTCCTTGCAGTGTGGATAGCGGCAACGACGCCATATAGGCCTACGTCCGTCTCCGCCTCCATGGTTGTCCACTTGCGCACCACCCTCTTCAAAAATGTATAGTTAAGCAACATCAGTGTAATTGCTTAAGAAGAAAATCTATATATAATTAGGGTAAAGTAATTTTGAATTTTTTTCTGAACAGTACTTGAAATGGCATATTGTTCATATATTATGCAATGCTACATGGGACAGATGCTATAATAATAGAAATCATAACTTCATTTTCATCAACAATGAACGATTCTATCTAGTCTTTGTTTGAGTCCCATTCTATCAAAAATTCATTTTTGTCAAAACTTATTTTCATCCACATATTCTCAAATAAAATAATATTACACATAAATCTAAAAAAATTTCTCATTTACTACACATTCTCCAAAAATTACTATTGAAAAAACATTTTTTTTTTCTACAAATGGGCCTCAGAGAGAGAGAGAGAGAGAGAAACAATACTCACGAGTTTGGGCAACCCCGGGCTCATTATCAGCAGAAGCTCTGTAAGAGTTCACAAGAACTACAGCAAAGAGAAGGCTGAGAAGAAATAAAGTCTTGAAGTGAGCCATTTTTCTCAAGTAGAGAAAATTATGCTTCAAGATTGGATGAAAAGATCAGTGTTTTTGGCCATAATTTATAGGCCACTATAATTAGAAATGTTGATCTATTCTAGTCCTAGAGACAAAAATGTTACAAAACGTAACCATTCTAGCACGTTAAAGGAAGTTAACTATTTTTCCTTGCTTATCAATCATTCAATCAATTACTCAAAAGTTTAATATTTTTTAAATACAGAGATGTAGCAGCCAAGATTCATATAAACAATCCATTTTTAAAGCCACTTATTTAGAAAAATTCAAATAGTATGTTTTAATTTTTTTTTTTTTTTTTGTCGTATGGATTTAACTTTTCTCCATCCACTTCATCTTGAGGTTTATGCTTTAGGGTGCTAATTGTTACATTTTTGATTGTGAAAGTATTGGACAAAGTGTCTTAACTTCAAATTTATTAATCACATTATAATTTTTTCTTTTATTTTAAAATATTGTTGCAACTCATTCTTAATAAATTGCACAAACTCATTTCAATTATATATTTATTTTTGGTACGAATATAATCAATTTTTCAAGTTTCCTTTCTAAAAACATCTTAAATCCTTCAAGATTGACATGACAACTCAAAACAAAGGTGTGAACTATAAATTAGTAGGTAAACTTGTTTGCAATTGTTGAGCATATCTTTCAATTCATTATACCAACTCGCTATATATAATTCGTTGACTCATTCAAACATCTAGTGCTTGCTCAACCATAAGGAGATGATAGAGGAAGAATATTTGTTCCTACTATCTTTTGTATCAACTTAAGTTTACTTATTTTAAAACCGCACGATATTTTCCTTATGTAAATGTTATTATTAATTCATAATATAATTATTAATTGTGCGTCTCGACCCTCAATAATTAGTACAAATTGACACTTGTTATAGTAATTTTTTACAATCTTCGTAATTATGTTTTTATATTGCTAGAAGAGTAATACTGTCATTTTAAAACCAATTTTAACCTCATTTTGCTACTCCGCATCACTAATTTGCGATGCATGAAGTGATGGTGTGACAAGCTGAACTTATCACTTCATTATTTAGCGCGCAACACAATTTTACTATGGCTAAATGTTTATATTCTTTTCGATGGATTTTCAGAGAGATTTTTTCATCCCAAAATTTGTCACACATTTTAATTATTTATTATTTTATTTGATATATTACTTCGGCGACTTATGCATTAACCATTGAATAGGTTGTATCGCTAGTAATCGGTCATTGTACATAGGTGCCTTTACTAGAAGTTAATTTATATTTCGTGTGTATTAGATAACATATGCATTGAATATCAAAAATGTTGTCCCTCTCAATTCTATTCCCCCTGATCCGTATATACTATGCCTCAAACGCACCCTCAAGAAGGATACGTGTAAAGATACGGGACATTTTGTGAAGCTTCGTCGATGGGGGCACCTCGGACAAGCAATCAGAAGATATGCAAGAGCATATCTATCATTATTCAAAGTGGAAAGCACAAACAATTTATTAGGATTACTAATCTGAGTGAAATATAAGAATAGTCAAATTACTTAATTGTAGTTCAATTAATGTAA